TATTGCCCTCTACAACTACCTAAAAGGAGGCTGTAGTGAGGCTGGTGCTGGTTTCTTCTCTCTAATTACTAATGACAGGACAAGGGGAAATGGCCTCAAGTTGCGTCAGGGTAAGTTTAGATTGGATATTCGGAAGAAGTTCTTTACTGAACGAGTGGTGAGGCACTGGAACGGGCTGCCCAGTAGATCTAGTACTTGAGGCTATGGTGTAGTGATTAGGTATGTTGGGATGAAGGTTGGACTAGCTGATCTTCAGAGGTCCCTTCCAACCCCGAACATTCTGTGATTCTGTGATTCTGTGATTTGTACCTTCTCAGCTGTGGTCTGCTCTGTCTGTGTCACAAGCGGTGCCTTCCTGCTCTCCCACACTGCTGCGGGCCCCTGAAACAGAGCTGGCCACCCACCAGCCCCACTCATTTCTGCCTGCTGCCATCACCCTGGGAGCCAGGCTGCGGGAGCAGACCCCACGTGCTTTCTGCCTCTGAGACCCGTCTCAGAGCATCACACCAAGAGTTTCTCTCTAAGGGGCACATTTGCTGCCTTGGTTCTGCCACCTCGTCCCATGCAAGTCATCCCCCAACTGCAGAGTGCTTCCTCACCCTCCCCTCCTCTCTGATTTTCAGGGGCACAGGCATCCCCTCTGCTTCTCCCAGGTGAGCTCCCAAAGGGCAACATCTTTCCTGTAGAGATCAAAAACCCTTCCATGCTTCGCTTCACCCAAATAGCTGGATTGCCACATCACAAGGACAGCAGTGGTGGCAAGGGCAGCATGGCAGGGCTTGCATTGAGAGCATCCTTTCCTTGGGGAGACCTCCCCCTCCCTGGGGCCGGCGCGCAGCCCTGACGCTGCTCCTTTCGCTGCAGCGACACGCTGCAGGTGTCAGAGCAAACACGTCTGCTTCGCCCACCCGGCTCCCTCGTCTGTGCTGCGCTGGCCAGGCTCCCACCACGCACCGCTCCCACCCCGCACTGCCATCTGCGCGGCAGCCAGGGCACCCACAGCCGCCCATCACCACCGGCACCAGCCGTGGGTCTGCCTCCAGGGACCACAAGCAGAACGTCCCCCCCTCCATGGACTCCCTTCTGCTGCAGTCCACGAGACCCGCACGTCTCATTTGCTGCCAGGGATGATGGAGGGCACGCCTGTACCCCAAACAGCCCCACCAGGCTGCCTCCATCCCCTCGGCTTCCTCCAGCACTCAGCAAGACCCCACAGGGTCTTACGTCAACTGCCCCCGAGGCCAGTGCCAGCCGGGTCAAGGACCAGCAGCACACAAATGTGCCTTCCCTCGGGCCATCTCCATGCTCCCTGTGCCCCACGCACCCTGTGCTCCCTGGGGATGTCCCAGGCCATGCCACTGGCCCCTGGCTTAGTCACACACATCCTGGCATGACCGTGGTCAGGGCCACCTTGGTTTCTATCTTTCCCTGGAAATTTCCAGGGATCGCTGCTCAGTGCCATCTTCCCCCCGCCATCACTGTCCTACCCCGGGGCTGAGCTCTCAGAGTCACACTCCACCGTGCGTGGTGGCATGCAGTGCGGCCAGGGATGTTGAGGACACGCTGCCTACCCGTGCTGGCCTTGCTGGAGCCGGCAGAGAAGGGGGAGCTGA